TGATATAAATTTCTAAATTTCGAATTTGCGCTAAATGACTAATAATTTCTCTCGAATATACGATGACTTTTACCAAGTCAAACTTATGGAATGACTTATTAAGAGCTTTAGCAACTAACTGTTATGACCCATCAACTTTATCAGCAACAAAAATAAAAATAAAAATATAATTTTAGTCACGCATACTATGACTAATTCACACCACTACATGTTTTTATTAAAATAAAAAAATGGCGACAACTGGTCCATATAGATGGAATGTCTACTTCAGTATCCAATATCCAATGCGGGTACATTACATATTTTTGTCAAGTTTTTGACCACTGGATAACCACTAGTAATAATAATTACCCTAACATGGAATTCACTAAATGCATTTTTCTAATGAAAAGTTTGATTTAAAAGTGTGTTGTAATTAAAATTCAAGCGCATTTAGGGATTAGTGGGTAATATAGCTTTATTGGTTTTTAACTACCCATCACTATAAATACACGTAAGCTATTGTAAAGATAAAGTAATATTTGACAACAGAATACGTATTACTTAAGAGTGGCACATGTCATTTTAGCATGTTGTCAGATAAATTCAATCATTGATTGAATAATGTATCATATCAAAACCTTCTCAATATTTAGATACATTTCACATGTATTGCGTTGATTTAAAACCTCAAAATGCTACTTTATTTCATAAAGACGATGAGAGATGAAATAACCAGCTACTTTTATTGTACTTGTCTCTAAAGGCAAAAGGCTACTTTGAAAGCTTAATCCTTGGGTGTAAAAAAATATAAACCTACAACTATAACTTGTTTGCGATTTCATACTGCTGCATTGTTTATTTTATATAATAAATCGCTGTTATTGGAAACTGACTGTTAGTGTTAAATGCTTACAACAATATGTTAATTATACAATATTAAGCCTCAATTTAGCAAATTTTTAAATTTTACATAATATACAATTTGTTTAGGTCAATAAAATACACATTACATTTTCGATATAAAAATGCAATTTTATATTTTAATTTATTGAATTATATTGGAGATATCAATTCGGGTATAAAAAATAACACAGTTGTTGAACAATACCATAGATTGAGAATATACTTATTTTACTTCCAATATAGAAGTAAGTATAAAATATTAACCACTTTACTATTCCAAAGAGGCTAAGTAGTTAAAAGTTTGAATCCTTATTCCTTTATTACTAAGTTAGCTTAACTTATTTTACTCTACTTTATTTACACGAAACCAACTTAACTATTAACTTATTCTATAGTAAACTACTTCAATTGTGACTCAACAAAGTTAGTTTTCCTAATGTTTGGGCGAGTCTTTTTAAGTGGAGAGCACACATCGCAATACTGTGCTCAGACATATTAGTGAGACCAATTTGAAGGAGTTTTCTTTTATGTAAAACGGACTTTAACTGATATACAAATAAAGAGTTATACCAACGGGAAAAATTAAATTCCGACCGTGATTTGGGGCTTGAAAAGTTAAAAATCGTCCTCTTTGAAATTAGCACACTTATTGAAATGAAACCTAGAAAAGACTTAATTTTGAATTGTAAAAATCCGTTACAATTATAAATACGAAATAGTGATTTGTAATGCCTTTCGAAACATAGAAAACTGGCCATTCCTATGTCAAATAAGTGTGGGATAATATAACATTATTATGCAATAAAGGTACATTTAATTACCACTTAAGAAATATATCATGTTATCGGGAAAAGTTACAATAACTTATATAAACACAATTTTTTTTATGTTTCGTACAATAATATATTTGATGGTTGTATCATTAACATCGATTACACTTGGCACAAATTAAGACCACCAAGATTTTAATAAGTTGGGCACGGAAAAAAAACTCTTGTAATTCTTATAAAACTGGGTTATATTAAATGTATAAATTGGTATAAACACTAAAAATCCTTTCTAGTTGCCATTCCATGAAAAAAACACATTACGATTTTACACCCCCTTGATGTGTTTATACCCAGAGATTAAGGTACCTTCATCATATTTTATTTATTAAGCTTTGTCCTACTTCCTTTTATGTTCTTAGTCACCTGATTGACGGTGTATTATTGACTATTATCTTTGGTATGTAAAATAACCATAGTAATACTTGTTTATATTTATATTTATTAATTTTTGTCAAATAGTATTCCCATGTTAAAGTTTTTTGTTTTAAAATAGTTTTTTACCCGATTATAATTTATAGTTAAATTCAAGACTCCCGTGTCGAGACGTTTATTTTTTATTTCTTTGCCTTTAAAAATTTGTTATAAAAGCGATGAGCGATGATACTGCCGAAGAGCTCATCAGATCCCAGTACAGTACATGATGAAAGTTGATTACAATTCCAAAACTAAATTAGGCTATCAATCCCAAACTACTTCAGTACTGGCACCCTCATTCAAGTTTTCTTAGTTTATTGTATTTTATACCTGTTCAAATAATTCTATAGTAATTGTTCATGTTCAATTAGTATTTTTTTTCAACGATATGACAAAACAATTTAACTTCTTTTTATTTTAATTGTTTGTTTATTTTGTTATTTTGTCCGTGAAGTGGGGAGCGACATAGAAGACTCTCCCCACACGCAGATGTACAGTCTTAATGGTGATTTTTTCCTTTGTACATTTGTTTTACGCCACGATTGTAATCTCTGATTTGTAATTTTGGAAATAAATATATTCTTATCTTATCTTATCTAAAAGAAGATAAACTGTGTTTTACAGCAATACAACGTGTTGGAGAATAATTTAACTGACCTAAGCCATTTTAAATTTCGATATTATTAGGAACTTTTCCAAGGAAACGAACGTGAACTTCATCGTAATAATTTCTGTAGTGGAAAATCCCATCGATAATCTTTTGTCTAAAGCGTATGTAAGCTGACTGAATTATGTGTTTGTTTGTTGAGGCATAAGCAATGTGTTCAGTTGCAGCTATGTTTGCTGAATGCATTTACACTTGTATGCGTGTGTGCATGTGGCTGTGGCATCTTTGTCAGGGATTGATTTGAATCTACCGCATAAGGTAATTATGATAGTAATGTACCAATACCAATATTTCATTCAAAATTAATTAATCTTATAGCAAGAAGACTAAGAGTTACATTAGAGGGAAACGAATTTTAAACACTGCTCTATTTACTTGCTAAAAGGATTGTATTGGAGATATTGATATGTCTGAAAGATTGACTAACAAGATTTACTAAACCGTTTCCATTTTGTCAATACATCACGTCAATATTGTTATACTCCATCAGTATGCTACTTGTGTCACTTATCCCTTGACAATACATCACTTTAACATTATGTGGGATATTACTTTCAAGGCTTGACTATTGCTTTCTTGATTTACATAGTTTCTTTACATACTTCTGTTGATAAATACTAAATATTTAAACATTTTAGGATGAGTGCACCAGGAAATGGTAGTTGAAGATTGAGTTTCCATTTGTCACGTAAATTGAAAAAAGGCTATACTGGTTTGGAATACCTTAATTTTATTTCTCGTTATCCTCTGTACTTCTTTAGGATAAAACTTAGTGTGTTATGTCCAAACAGAGTGTTAAAAATAGAATTTATTGCAAATAAATCATTGCACCATTGGATGACCGCGATTATACTGGGTGTCTTGGAACTATATGAACAAACTTTGTCACGTTATTCATCATGTCAAAAGAAAAAAACATTCATATTACATGTGTCCAAACCTCATTCCGTTTTCGGTCCATCTGTCTGTGTAAGATTTTTTACAAAAAAAAAAACATTCATAACTCAAATGTTTGAGCTACAGCGTTGAAATTCTGTAAAAACGTTTATCTTATTAACCACTATATATTATACAAAATGTGAATAACAACTTTTAAACCGTTTAAAAATGGTATAAAATTACATGAAAACCCTCACATACCTATTTTCACCATTTAAACAAAGTTAAATGGATAAAACTACTTTTTACATTGTTTGAATGGTGAAAACTGAAGGTATGGCAAGAAAAAGATTAATTTCTCCGTTATTCTTTTTTAAAAACTAAACTTATACGATATTGTTGTAATAAACATAAAATTTAAAAAATTTTACATAACTTACAAATATTTCGTAAAATTAACGGCTATCATATATTTGTAAAAGCCGCCATTTTTAAACGGTTCAAGATAGATTAATTTGTATAAACATAGTGGTCAGTAAGATAACATTTTTTTACAAAATGTCAAAGCTATATCTTATTCAGTTAAATAGTTATGAATGTCTTTGTAAAAATCAAATACAGACAGATAGACCGGAAACGGGATGAGATAGGACACATGTTATGTTAAATTTCTTGTTTCTTTTGATATGCTGGATAACGTGCCAAAGTTTGTTCATATGGTTGCAAGACACCCTGTATAGAATTTTTAAATAATTGTACTAACTCCTCTCATTTCTTACCAAATAACCCGATTAAGGTTCTCATTTTTATTGAGGAAAAGAAAAGTTTGCTTGTTTGATGGTAGTTTTTTTATATCAAGTTTGAAAAATTTAGTTATTTTATCGCATACTAATAAAAAAAAACTTTTTCCTTTCCCACAGCAGCAAACAAACCTATGTAATCATGAAATCTAATGTTATTCAATTTGGGGATAAATATGTATTTGTATGAAAATATTTTATACAAAATCCAATTAGACTAATTATAATTCGCTTAGTCAGTAGATTTGCTGCAGCTACGGTATTTTTATTTACTTTTTGTTACTTTTATTAAATAAATAATAGGGAAAACTACAAATATTTTTCACATTTTCACTTTCAGTTAAAAAGTAGATAGTCAGCCAGTTGAAACCGACATGTGGCTTGCAAATGACAGAACAGTTGTTACTAGTACAGTTTGATTTAATAGGTTTGATTGATTGCTTCGAACAACCAATAGGAGCAGTACAAGTTTTCGTTTGCGCAAATTGTTAATGGCGTTCGACCTAATTTTTACTTCAAGTCTTGGATCCATCAAACACAAATGATTCGTTTGGTTCTAGTTTCTTCTTTCATTTTGATCTTGGTAAATATTGCAGCCATAGATTTAAGTTTACTATAGTTAAAGAAAGTGTGACATATGTTATTAAGATTCACAGATTTTCAGAATTAATTATTATTATGTTTGTTTAATTCAATGTTTTTGTTTAGTTCAATGCTAACATTATGAAATGATTAAATTGAGTCTTATACAGTTCTTGTTAACAATTGTATTTAATAGAAATAAAGATTTCTTGATTAGAAGATTAAAAATGAAAAACCTTCACAGTTAATGAAATAGCTTTGGATGCATTTTAAATCATTTTTTGTGTCAGTAATTTATAATTAATTTTAAGAAACTCCATAATCGTATAGTATTTTATACGGATTTGAATAGATTATAGCTTAACTTACCTTATATCCTTGGTCACAGGAAACCTAAGCAGATTTTTAGCCTCGCAAACGGCAAACCTTCGTTATTATTATATTCTCTGCTACTTCATATGTTGTTCAGAGTGTTTAAATATCGTTCAGCAAACTTATGTTTGGCCTTGGCCTGCCAAGTGGTTGGTCTCCTGCCTTCTGGAGTATGTCTGTCCACATGTGGAAGTAGTATCCTGCCTCTATACCATTTCCTACCCATTTCAGCCTTCTAGTTTAAGTCTGAGCTAATAAATCTGGGTGGTGGTATAGATATCCATTCTTTATTTTCTGATGTACCAACCTTCTTTATCTTTTACCAGACAACATTTTTTCAAGACCCGTATTTTTCTTGATTCTTTTTTTATCATCAAATTCTACTCCAAAGCCTTGATTATTTGTTAGTGCTCAAATTTATGTTGAATGCAGAAGTACTGAGGAAGTTATATTATTGGATGGTAAAATTTATTTATCCTTATAGTGATTTTGACTGTAGCAAGGACCAGTAGGTTACTGAAGCAAAATGTAATTATATTTTAAATTAAATTTGTCTTATTTACATTTACTGTGGTGTATGTAATTATTACACCGAGCTAGTTTACTCATAATCAAGCTCAAACTCAAAACTCTACATTGTAAGTTTTTCTGATCTATTTATTTATTCTGGTCTTCTAACCTTCATCTATTTTTATTTCGGTTGTTTATTTGTCTGACCTTGTGTTAGGTTCTTTTATCAGACCTTTCATTTTGTTCCTAGCAAAAATCGCCACATCGTCCTCAAACTCAAGAAAACTTTTTTCTCAGTCATTCTAAATGCGTGCTGTTTTTTTTTTTTATTGTTTTTATTATGGAAAAATATTTTAGATGGACATTAAAACAAAGTAAATAGGGTAGCTTGCACAAACGTGTTGTTTTCTTATTTGTTTTATATTGAATTTTTACTTATGGCATATTATAAGCGTCAGGGGTGCTTTATCTTGAGAAAGAGAGTAGCCACCCCCTGGATAAAATATATAAACAATACTTGAATAATGCCAAATACGTATAAAACTGCACACGTGATGCGCCTCTATTACAGACATGATTTAAAGTAAATATACAATGAGTACTACAGTTGTGCAGTACCCGTACATAAACATTTTATATACCTGATACTCTTAAATACTCTTAAAACTTTTCAGGGTGTCTTCGAAGCCAAAGGTGAACCGAATGACCTTTCACTCAAGAATGACGAGACAAGTACTCCATCTCGATCACTTGGTAAGTAACTATTGTAGACATAACTCTACTTTACAAAATGTTTGAGCAAATGATTTCCCAATTACGAGTTTTCATCACCGCGACCGTAACATAGCGCAGGATCATCAGGCTCTTACGGTAAATAACACCAATGGTAGTCAAACCCCTAAAAAACCCTACTAACACGACTTTTCCCTTACGATTCTAGAAATAAAAACTGCTCAAAACCATTAAGGAAAGTACATAAATCTACAAAATATACAAATAGATTAGTATAAATTGATTGAATACCATCATAAACGAAATAGTATATTTCATCACTAGGGCGTAAAGTCACTCTTTTCTTCTAATTTTTTAAAGACACTTTTTGCCCGTGCGATGATTAATTAACTAGAACTAAGCTAGAAAACGAAAATACATTTCTTGAAAGATAACCTCTCAAAATGACTACCAGCTTGTGTTTAATTCTGCTAATGTAAATAAGCAGCTGTTTAGTAATTGAATCAATCATTTCGTCTATTACAATTGTGTTACTGTACATTATACCATCGATATGACGAACTTTTGAAAAGGGAGGGAGTAAACATACTAGTATTGATCCGCAAAGTATGCATAAAAAACTGCTGTTATAACAGCAGTACGACGAAAAAAATTACTATACAATCCCTTATGTGCGCAATAGCCCGCTTTAATCACGTGCCCGCAAATGTAACATGCAATTCTTATAAAGAAAAAAGAAAACAGGCTTAGTAGACTTGTGTTATAGATATATATGTTGTTCAAATTTGGCAAATTAATTTATTTCGTCCTATATACATAATACTATTGCTGTCATATAAACATTTGGTAAAAAAACCCTCCTTACCTTCCCTTTAGCAGCATACCTTAGCACTCATTAAATACAATGATACTTAAATAGGGAACAAATATGTCTTGTCATAGATAAAAAATACTCCCTTAGTAGATTCCTCATCATTATAGATCAGCTGAATCAAATTTTATTGTTAGTTCTGTCCGGTACACTGTAGTTGTCGTGCTTTGTTTACAATTTGTGACTTGTTTTTTTTAGTAATTTAAAAATCTCGATTAGTCAAATGAAACGGTGTAATCATAAACAACAACTTGTCCCCTAGTCCTTGTCCTACAGCCAAAGAGTAAAGCACAAATCATGAAGTGAACCCTAAAATATTAGAAACAAACTTCGTTGACACTAGTGATCGGTGTCACCGGACATGAACTAGACACAAAAACGAGCTTCAAAATTTAGAATAGAATGAGGAGTCTACTCGTGTTGGTTAGTCAATGGTCTTCTTTGTGGAAATATTTTAGTAAAATTCCATTTAGACTAATTGAATTTCACTTAGTATGCAGGTTTGCTGTGGGGCTATTTTAAAATCATATAGGTGGCGCTTGAATTAATCACTGGAAAGGATATTGATGACAACTAATCGTTATTGTGTATTGTGGTTTCAGAAGAGAAATGGGCAGAGGCAGCTTCTTATGTGAGAGTCGTAGAAGAGAAAGAGCGAGAGAAACAATGGAGACCGCGCGAATGGAGACAAATGCAATATGACACCAAGACCTTATCGTGGTTGAGGACACGGGTGAGGCACCCATTCCGAAAAGGAAGGAACTGAAAAGTGCCTTTTAAAGTGACCAACTGAATGAAATTGTATTTAACCAATGAAACGTGATTATTATTTCAGTCCCTGTCCCCATTGCAAAATGCACATCCGTATATAGGGTCGCCAGGTGTAACGGTTAGAGCAAAAATTTGTTAACCCTTCAATTGCTTTTCCAACCAACGTGATGTATGTTTAATGGTGCAGTTGTTGAGCCAACTGGAACTGTTGAAGTCTTATCACCTAAAATATGTACTTTCTTCATATCTACCTCTATATTACAAATCCCATGCATAGCTTGAAATAAATATGCTCGTTTGACTGTATTTGAGATGCAATAGGGCAAAAGGGACACAAGATACTAAACGTGTAAACAATTTCAAACAGGAAATTTAAAGAAAGATAGATTTACTGTTAAAAGAGTTACAAAACAAAGCTATAACTTCAAATCAAAGCGACATCAATCTTGGAACAAACAAAAAGGGGAGTTCAGCTTAGAAAGGTTAATTTGAAAAAAGTTGATGAATCTAAGATTGAGTAAAATAAAATATCTTCTATCTACATGGTGTCCAACTTCGACTATGGGAAACTTTACCGTATTATTCGGGAGGTCAAAACAAGAAAAAAATGCAGTACAACATGTGTCATATTTATATTAAAACCGTTAAGCGTCTGTCTGTCTGTAGGTGCTTTTTACAAAAAACATGCATAACTCCTTAACGGTTTGAGATATAGCGTTGAAATTCAGTAAATATGTTTATCGTTTTGTCCACTACCTTTGTGTAAAATATCAATAAAAAAGTGTAACAGTTTTAATATGGCGGTGATATTTTGTTTTCAAAGCTTAATATTTTAATATAAAATAAATAAAATAATAATTAAAATAGCCTCTATTTTGAAACGAATATACATTTTTTGTTCATATTGTAAAAAAATGTAGTGGGCAAAACGATAAACATATTTGCTGAACTTAAACGCTATATCTCAAACCATTAAGGAGTTATGCATGTTTTTGTAAAAAGGCACATACAGACAAGACAGGCGCTAAACGGTTTGTGATAGGACACATGTTGTATTGAATTTTTTGCTTGTTTTTGACCTCTTGAATAATCTGGTAAAGTCTGTCCTAGTCGTAGCTGGACACCCTTTTTATAAGCAGTTTTTTGTGAACACTACTCCTCCTGTTAATAAAAACAACAAAAAATCACCTGTTAATAAAAGGAAAATCAGTAGCTTTTTTAAGAGCAATTATTGATGTTTGTAATATTCAGGAGGTTATACACAAATGCAAACAGTTAATCAGTTTTGTTGGAAGAACAGAAAATGTCTCGAATGTTCAAATAAGAAATATTGAAAACAGGAGGAGGATACAACTAATAAGAATGCTTATGAGGAGAGAATAATAAGAGAGACCTTCTCTAACAGTAAGGAATCCAGATACACATTCACTTGGTGAGATAAAAAATATTTGCCAGTTCTGCTGTGCAACTTATTTTGGAAGTGATAAAATACATTAAGAACATGGTGGTAAAGTAAACAAGTTGTGAGTACATAAATGTGGAACTTTTGATGTGACTAACTCTAAAACATAGGACTTCTAAGGACACAACCTAACTTTTCAGATACCACGGCGCACGTACTTCGTTCACGCTGGGCTGCTCGAGTATTTACCAACCTAAAAATGTTGCTTTTCCCGAGACGTGACCACGTTTTTGCAACTCTGCTCATGGTTGACAATCTGCAAGCACAGCCGACTACCCGGCTCGTCGTTTTAAGCCACTTGCATCGTCTACTGTAGTGTACAAACATACAGACAGCGTAGCGTAAAGCAGCCCAGCGTAGTCCAATACTGTACACACAGAGAGCGCAGCGTAGCGTAGCGCATTATAGGTTGTTTTAGGATATTTAATACTTTTCAACGAAATGGCGACCATACAAAGTAGGTATTTTAACCAAATATAAGTGAAGGATGAGTGTAGGATGAGTGACACAATCTCCACAATCTCTCTGTAGTCTTGTTAGTGACTAAGGCCGACATGTTCCTTAGACACAGCTGTTAATTATTAGCCCAAACCGCTAATGGCAACTAAGGGGACGGCAGTTTATAATGGAATCCGAACCACATTTTTGCCTTGGTATATACGAATTGGTCTAATTTTCAGGACAGTACTGCGGATAATCGTAGTACTCACTCGTGCGGTCGTTAATCCACACCAGGGAGTATCGCATCCACAGTGAATGCCTATTAATATCCACAATTCGAAACCTCCTAGTAGCTGGATTACAGGACGACGCTACCCGTCCCAGTACATCGGTATCGAGGATGGCTCTGTCGAAGACGGCTTGTATTGGTCTTGTTGAATCGAAAATACCTCTAGGTGGCAGTTTTCGATCAGTAGGAGATGAGTTTTAGATCGGGGTGTATAAAGGCAGGGAACAACATGGTGAATATCACCACTTATTTCCAATCCTTAGCAAACACGGTCCTCTTTTGCGTTTGGTTTGCCAGATCGGAGTGCTGGCAAACACCTACGAGATTAGCAATTCTTTGTCCTTTGCACACAGCCACAGGGGTTATATTATCTGTGACACAGCGTACGCCGAAATACAAAACTATATCATACCTCATTTCAATGCATAACATGCTCTACACTGTAAGTATGTTTCTACACTAAGGTAGAGACGCAACCCGCACTGCTTTCCCGCCTAATGCTTGCCGTCTAAACAACTGAAGGGGCCGTCAATAATCATATGCCATCTGCCACTGCTGAACCCTAGGATAATAGAATAAATAAACGCCGCATGGTGATTATTTATTCTATGCTAGGAGGATTAACATGTTATTCTCCTAGGCGCGACCCACGGCCAACACCTTCAACCTCTTTGGAGCTTTGAATGCGCGTGACTTCAATGGACTTTGGTGTTTACTATGTAAAATTGTGTGCCGATTATTTTTTTTGTTTAAACTGCAGCTTCTATACCTTTTCTATTCTTTATTTAAACTACGTACGTCGAAAGTATCGGAGTACAGATGTTAATATAACATAATATTAATATCATCCAGATTATGTAAACATTGATTTGTGTCCCATTCACACATATGGTCATCTTCGATATAAAACACATTGAATTGTTTTTCTAAAGATGTGTACTGTACTCGTACGGACTGTGACGTGAACACCAAACACAACTTCAATATAATCTGTGGCAAACCATTTTGCATTCGCCATAGTCACGTAAAAAAAAAAAAAAACTCACCAACCAGAGATTGAATCCCGTACAAAAGCGAAAGTGATGGAAATAAAATTACTTCTTTAATAGATTATTTTTTGGGTTTGAATTGCATCCTAACTAATTAATGAAAAATGATTTTAAAATATTTTAATTGGTATGGAAATAAATATAAAATAAATATTGCGATCCATATGTTAATTATTTAATTAAACTTTATTAACATTTTATTTTTGCAGATGGACCATTATTATTCTAATTGCTTACTACCTTTTGATAAAGGCCATTTAAAAGGTATCTATAGTACAGTTCATTACTGATTTCAGATAATCGGTGAAACCTAGGGTACTACCCTAAGAAACCTGGAACCATGACAACAAACCTTTACTAAATAGAAAGACCGTTTAGACTGGAATTGAGTAATACATGTCAAATAATATACAAAACGTTACACATTCACAGTGAATTGCACATTTAACCATATTTATTTAAGTAAATTGAATGTACTATCTCGTTGTAGAAAAGGTTACTTGCAAGTATTGAGACTTTGCGAAAAACCACTCAATTTAGCCTTGGTTACGACATAAGCAAGGGTCGGTAAGTCGAAAAGCAATTTGCCTCGTGAAGGCGGTATTATTACTACATATTTCAGCTCATACCGGTTGGTAAAAGGTTTCAAGAAGGGTTTTTGATAAACACTCATTTTGTAATATGTTTGAAACTGAGTCGTTACGAAAAAAATAATATTGCTTTAAAACTAACATGAATGTGAATAGTTTAAGGATTCGTGGACCAAAAAGATCAGAGAACGAATAACCATGTTTAACAGAAAAGTACCCTGTACAACAACGCAAGTTGGAAAACTCTATGAAATATAAAGAAAATATATGCAGAATGCAGGTATGTTAAAATAAAACTGTATTTAAAAAAAAGATATAAATTATGTTCAAATTTAACCTTGCACAATCTTAAAATATGAATAATCAAAAATACATTGCCTTGTAAACAAACATTTACTAAGGCGGTTGTGATAGTGAAAATTAAATGGAAGTTCAACTGTAATTAGATATTAGGGAGATCTAATTGGAAACGGCAGCTTAATTGTCTTGGGGCGTAACATGTGACTTTGACAAACAGATAACTTTAAGAAAGTTTTACGTAATTGTTAGGCTCACTTTACTATACAATAACTTTTACATTCTTTTGTCGTTGACATTATTAGTGATGTTGACATGTTTTGCATAAATAAAGATGCATTTATTTTAATGTTAAGCAATGGTGTGAGTTCCATTAACACCCATCGTGTTAAAACGTAGCAACCAAACCAGGCTATCCCAAACCTTAACGATTACAATTTTATCACAAATATTTTCTAATATGTAAAAATGTGTTCTTCCTCTAACTGTACACCTATATTTCATTACTAGACGAAATTCTTACAAGCTTTTGCGTTTTCTAAACCAATAAGGGTGTGTGTATAAAGAAATTTGTACTTAATACGAGTATTTTGCTGCAATTTTAAATTTAATTTATTTGATTAAGTGTGATGTAAATACCACTTAATGCAAAATTATCTTCAATTTCAAATAGTACTTACTTTTGATCGAAAATCAAATAATCAGTTCCATATAATATTAACACTATTACTGGAAACGTTTCAACCGAATGATG